GTTACATTGCAACAAAAATCTGCCTTAATTCTGCTGAATGTTTGGTCTTTTCCTGTTAGGATTGGGACAGGCTGTGGTGGAGCTGTTTTTCTTGTCTCTGTGCTTTCCGCTGCATAACCACCAATCACATTTCCTCAGGCTGCCTGTTACACACCTGCAGTCTATCATCATCAAAACTGTGTACTTAAGGGTCAGTATTGTGCCAGAAAGAGATTTCTCTTCTCTTTTTTTTTCTTTGTCTTTTACGTGTAATATCTTGGTTTATTTTGGTAAATATACCTATTCTGCAAGTATCATTATGACTCAGTGTTATTGTGGCTACATTATATTCAATCCAGTCCTTTGAGACTTTATAGCTGGATAAATAAAGGTTATATAAAAGTCATTTTGCCAAAAACTGATTGCAGCTTCTGCCTTGTGACAGGAATGTTGTTTGTGGCTCAAAAATACTTTTTATTATTCATGAGAGATATATTTGACATACCTATCACAGACTATAGGCCAACAAGTTATCTGCAGCAGTTTAAATATGACCAATCATTCTTTGGCAAATACTGGAAATCATTTTGGCTCTGGCTGTGGCGATGTCTTGTTTTTGTAAATACTCTGTCCTCTGCTTAGGCATTTGCCTGGTTTAGCTGTTTCCCCCATCGAGACAAAGTGGATATCAGTACTTACCTGCAAACCCACCTGCCAACCCACTCTTCACCGCTCACCACATGACTCACAGAAGTCAGACTGCTAGCCTCAGCCTTTAACTGTCACCTCTTAAGAAAGAATGCTCTTCAGTCACACTCTGAGCCTGCCAGTCACTGCTAATCATCATTCATTTAATTCACTTAATGTACAGAATTCACTGCATGCATGCTACTACTGCACATTTACCTAATGTATATATTATATATCATATTCTCCCCCCCCCTTTTGCACAAGTCGAGGAGCGTGTCAAGTTTCATTTCACTGTGTGTTATACTTGTATAACTATGCATGTGACAAATAAAGAACCTTGAACCTTGAACCTAATACTCTCTCTCCTCTTCCAGATTCCAGCAGTCTGCCGCCCTTTGCTATTAAACGTCTTCACTAGGGATGGGTACCGGTATCCGGTGCCATGATGGTTCTGAC